CAGGCCCCAGGCCCCAATACCTGCTATTTTGGCCCAAACACCTTCCCCTGGGGCTCCCTGGCCTTGGCTTTTCCTAAGATCTCAATCCACCCTCAAAGGAGACAGCTTCTGCCTAGGTTGGGAAGATTTAGAAGGTCCAAGAGGCAAGGCGGGTGGAAGGGGAGAGGCCGAGACCCTCCCTCTTCCTGGGAGTGTGTTAAAGGAGCCAGGCTGGTTCAGGGGGTTAGCTACTTCTGGGCCAAGGGTGTCAGCAATCCTGTGGGGCTTCCAAGGACCCAGGTAGGGGCTGTGGGACAGTCGGACAGGCTTCTTCTAGCACATGGGAGTTTGGCCCCTGCAGCGGGACCTGGAGAAACGGGCGAAACGCAGCTTCTTCTTGTAGGTGCCCATGTTACGCTTCAGACAGAAGGCCACCTCCTTGTCACAGGCACACAGCTGCTGCTCACACCAGCTCCCTTTGTCAGCTGCGTGGTGGAGGAGAGGGGAGCTCAGTGTCCATCCCTTCCTGAGACAGAGCCAGGGCTATGTATAGGGTGCCTGGAGGGAACCCCTGGAGGCAGCGCCATCCTCCCTCAGCTTTAGGGTGTCCTTCCCAGCTACTGTGACTCCAGCTGTGTGAGCTTGGGCACGTATCTTTACTGATTTATTCATCCAGTCAATGAACAACTGAACACCTATTGTGTGGCAGGCCCTGGGGGATAGGACTGAACACAGCAGACCTGTGAGGTTCTGCTTCCATGGGAGCAGCAGCTAGTTGAGAACCACAGAAATGAATATCAAGCTGTGCTCCCTAGAGGTAAAGGGCTGCAGGGCAGTGAAACAATCGGGCCAGAGCCACTGGCGCTGAGATTGGAAGGGTCTGCTCTCCCTATGGAAAGCCAGGGTGGAGGAGGGGGAGTGTTCCAGGCAGATGGAACAGCATGTGCAAAGCCTCTGAGGCAGGAGGGACCACAGCACTTCAGTTTCATTGTCTGTAAAATGAGGGTGGTCATAGTGCTGCCTCAGGGGGCTGCTGTGAGAATTAAAGGAAGAAGGCAAAGCACTCGGGGCCTAGTAAGTGCTCACTGAACGTTGGCTGTTACTGTTAGTGTTGTTGTTGTTGTTAAGCCCTCAATGAACAGGGACTGCTGTGAAGCTCCAATTTGATTCCCAGCCCCGGAAGCTGCCACCTGGCTTCAAACACGGGCCCAGGGGCCAGGTGACCTGAGATCCAACCCAGGCTCTGCTATTTGCAGCTGTGCGACCGCAGGCAAACACTTCACTCAGTTTCCTTGGCTATTAAATGGAGATCCGCAGGGCGGGGCTGCCCCCTGGCTGGGCTGCTGTGAGGATCAGTAACGATGGAAACAGGGACAATAATATCAGTCACCCGCGTGAACTATTGGCAGGCCCCGGGCAGCAGCGTCTGTGGAGCTCGTTCTGCCTGCCCTCCTTCTAGAGCTTGGACTGACTATGTGGGGTGGAATGCGGTTATCCTCAGGCCATAGATGAAGATCCTGAGGTTCAGAGAGGTTGAGCAACGTGTTCAAGGTTACACAGCTGGTCAGCGGTGGGCCTGAGATCTAAGCCGAGGTCCACCAGCCCTCCGGATCCTAAAGGGATCAGAGTCCCATTGGACCCCTCCCTACTCCACCCCATCCCTGCCCCCTCCTCCACGGCCTTGCTCCTGCCACTGGGCACGTGAGCGGAACAGAGAGCCGAGTGGCTCGGGCGTCATTGCAGGCGCATGAGGGCAGTGGGTGCCCCGAGTCCCCTCCTCAGTCTCCACTCCCGTCCCAGGCACTCACAGCACTGGATGTCCCCCTCGGAAAAGCTGTACTTGTAATTGTCCGTGTGGTAACGACAACGGTGAAACTTCAGGTGGGCGTAGCAGCAGTCATGAGCGTGGCAGCACCTGGGGGGAGGGGACAGGAGGTGGGGCAGGGACATGGGTCCAGGCTGCCCCTGCCCCGAGGAGAACCTGAGCCCTCCCCGGAAGGGTCAAGGCCTCCGGGGGTCTAGTCTTCGTGGTCACGCGAGCTGACGCCAACTGAGTGCTTCCTAGTACCAGGCACCTGCCTTTTCTATGAATTCTCTCTTAATCTTCACTGCCACCCTACGACAGGGGTACTAGGATTATCCCATTTCACAGATGAGGAAACTGAGACTCAGGGAGGCCAAGCCACTTGCCCAAGGTCACACAGCCTGTGAGCGGTGGGTCAGGGAAGGGACCGGGGCCTGGCACTGGCTCTCATCTCTCCTCTGGTGGAGTCCCAGGGTTGTGGGGAAGGTCAAATGAGAAAATGGCAAAAAGAGGTGGGACTTCCTAAAAACACCGAGCAATGGCAGCAGGAGTGTGTGGGGGGGTACTCTAATTAGATGAGGAGATGGGAGAGCAAGGGGGGTCTTCAGAGACTTTGGGGAACCTTCTAGAAGCCAAGCACCAAGAGGGTTGGGGCTGTATCAGAGCTCAACAGAGTTCCTAGCACATAGTACAAAACAAATTCACAGAATGAATAAATAGAGGGAAGGGACAGGGGAGAGCCCTGGGAACAGGATTGCCACCCGTGGGCCCGCCTGGGAGGGTTACCAGTCTGAGTCATCTAAGGGTATGCCTTTGCCACCAAGTCCACAGTGACAGCCGTAGGGCCAATAGGTGGTGATGGATGTCTTCCTGGTCACTTGGCTGACCATCTTGTTCAGGTTCAGAATCCCGCCCTGGGTTGGAGTCACACCTGCCAAGGGGCCCAGCAACAAGGAGAGGACATGAATCCCAGAGGAGGTCAGCGGACCCCAGGCTGCCACCTCTGCTCTATCTGGACCAAACCAATGACCTCAGATAACAAAATGACAACCACCACTATGGCTATTAAAAATATGATAGCCCTGGCTGGTTTGGCTCAGTGGTTAGAGCGTTGGCCCACCGACTGAAGGGTCCCGGGTTCGATTCCGGCCCAGGGCACGCACCTTAGTTGCAGGCTTGATTCCTGGCCCCGGTCGGGGCGTGCGGGAGGCAACCAATGGATGTTTTTTCTCTCACATGGATGTTTCTCTCTCTCTCTCTCTCCCTTCCACTTTCTCTGAACAGTTATGCGGAAAATGTCCTCCGATGAGGGTTAAAAAAAATAAAAAATAAATATAAATATAATGATTGCGAGTGCTCACTATGGGTCCTTTCATGGAGTAATTTATTGACTCCTTCCATCCCATCAGATAAACACTATTTTTTTTTTTTTTTTTTATAAATCAGCTTGTTCTTTTGATTTATCTGAATGTATAGAAAAGTTACAAAGATTACACAGGAAGTTCCCATAGACCCCTCACCCACTTTCCTCTAATGTTAAATCATCTTACTCATTTGTGGTGTATTTATGAAAACTAAGAAGCCAACATTAGTACAATGGATGCTATTTTTAGTCCCCATTTTAGAGAGGAGCAGACTGAGGCTCAGTAACTTGCTCTAGGTCATGGCAGCTGGTAAGTGGAAGAGCCTGGATTGAGAGAGACCCAAGGCAGCCTGGTTCTACTCTCCATCCCTGGGCACTGAAGCCCCAAAATAGGAAGGCTCACCCTGCTTCCTGCACTGCCCACTACCACCCCCATCNGGGAGGTCGTGTGATTTAGAAATCATTGATTTTCATGGAGAGTTTTCATTTCGGTCATAATAGCTTCTGGTTAGAATTGGTCGTAGGGGAATTTGTTTTCCTGGGAGAGAGGAATGCATTATGATGAGTTAGGAGAAACAAAACGTATTAAGTCAATGAATTCAAGGGAGAGTTTGGGCCAAAGACACAAAACAAGAAGGGGACTGAGATGTGTGTGTGCAGCCTCTTCAGATGGCTCAAGAACACGGCTGGAGCCGAGTCTCGGGGAGACTTGAGGCGGCCCCGACCCAGTTAAATGATGTTATGATGAAAGCTCCTCACGCAAACAAATTAAACAGTTACCCGGGTGTGAGCCCCGCACTGGGGAGGTTGGGGTGGGACTCGTGCAGTGGACCAAGGGGGAGACCACAAGCACGTGGCCTTGGGCTGCAGCTAAAAGTGCCAGGTGGTGCCTGGTACTAGCAGTTCTGCTGTGTCCCCAGCGTGTCCCCTCCATGTGGGAGAACCCACGTTGCCAGTCCTGTTTGACGTGGTGGCTCTAGGTGCGATGTTCAAGAGAAACCTTGGAAGCTTGGACAGAGCTGACCATGACCTCAGGCCCTCCGGAGTCCCGGATTCAGGGACAAGGAACCCAAAGTCAACATCACAAAGAGGGTGACCGTCCATCCACCATGTCGGCCAACCAGGGACCTGGATTCAGAATCTTGCCTTTTTGGTATACCTCTGTCCCTCTTTCTGCCCTAAATCTAGCCTTTTCCATTTGAGCTTAGAAATACATGCACCCACCAGCTCACCCCCAGACCACGCAGCTCCCCCTCAACAGGCAAGCCATCGCTTCAGCTGTCGTTCAGAATGCCTTTGGGTGGTTTCATTTCTTACAGTTTTATAGTAGGCGAGCCCAGCCCTGAGAAATTGAGTTTAACCCGTGGCTAGGGGGCTTTGGTGAAATGGCTGAGCTTATCAGCAATTCCTGTCCTAGTAGCTTTCTCCATCCTTACCTGCCACCAAAAACGATGGAGCCCCTTTTCCCAAGGGTCTCCCCAACAGTGGTGGGAGGCAGTATTGCTACCACCTCGTGCACGTGCTGTGTGTTAAGCTAATGCTTCCTTAATATTACTGACAATTGTCAAATATTTTGTATATTTTCTCATTAGAGTCCCTCTAACAACCCTATGAAGAGGGTGCTATTGTGCCCATTTTATAGATGAGGCTAGAGGGAGGTAGGGTGGCTTGGGGCCAAGGCCCTGCTGCCGGGAGATGGTAAGGCCAGAGTTCGAATCAGGTTGATCTGTGTATTTTTGTCTATGCTGTATTGCCTCTTTACAGCTTAGAGATGAATTTCTATAGCTTGATTGCAACTCTCCTAATGGTTTTCACTAGAGATGTGTTTCTCTGGAGAATTTGGGGGTCCCAAGATAACATACAACCACATTTAAAAGTGCATCCTTCTAAAATCATGTATTTTGAGATGGTCAAGAAACAAAAATGCCAATTTGCTGAGCAGCCACATTTTTACATTTGATCTGCTAAAGATCAAATAGAAATTGCCCCACCTCCCCCTAAGAGTCAACAGAACCCTCTCCCAGGTTCAAGGGAGATGATGAATATGAATGGGTTCTAAAAATATGGAGCTTTGTCTTTGTAAATGAATGTTACTGTTTGCTCAAAAGGATAGAGGGGAACAAGGTGAGGTATTTTTTATACAAAAAATTCTATAATTTTTGTCCAAAGTACCATAGGTGTCAGCTCAGCAGGCCCCTGGATTCTGAACCTTTCATTTCTGACCTTCACAACAGTCCAGAGCATGCCACATACCTTGGCCAGCCACATCTCTCTGGCCAAAGACAGTTGTCCTAGGGGACTGGAAGCAGCTGACGGCTCTTTGCAAAGAGAAGAGGGTTGGGGGCTTGAGGGGCCAGGGCAGTGGGGATCAGAGCAGCTGCTCAGTCTAGGAAAAAGATGTCCCACCTGAATCCCTCCTTCCCTTCCCAGCCCTGGTTCCTGTCCCCACTCACCAGCAAACACCACCAGTGCACACAGCAGGGGAAGTTCCATGACCCCGGTCCCGAGCAGTGGAAGCAGCTGCTGGAAGTCCCTTCATGCAGGCAGCCCCTTATGTAAGAGCCCCCCACCCCCAACCCCAGCTGAGCCTGACCCTGACCCCGACCTTCCCAGCCGTAGCTCTCGTGGAGACACCCAGGCTTCTTCTGTTTCCTCTTTTCTGGCACTGGGGAATTAAAAAAATTTTTTTAAATTTATTTTTAACATCTATTTTTTAAACTTTCTGATTGCAAAAGGAACACATGTTCAGTGTAGAAGATTTGGAAAACATAAACAATAAGAAGGCTTTTCAGATCCCCTGTGAATCCATTAGGCACCATTGCCAGTTCGGTGTATGTCCTTCTGGTTCTGTCACTCTCTCTCTATCGCCACACTTTTTAGCCTCTCTTTTCACTTACTTCTAAAACCTGAACATATTTCTGTGTTGTTAAGTCTCCTTCTGCGGTAACATTTTGAAAGGCACCCTCGCGTCCCACTGTAGGGCTATGCCATGCATTTCATGAATCCCCTGTTGATGGACACACGGCTTAGTGTTTACTACTCTAGACTCTACAGAGGTATAGTGAAAGAAACCCTTGGGGCTAAATCTCAGTTCACGTCCAGAGCTGCCGCTGTGGGATCTCTTCCTAACGCGGACTTGCTGAGTCAAAGCACGCGCACAGTTTGAAGGCGGGCGACTGACGTGTGTGGACAACTTGCAGAAGGCCCGCCCCAGGTCACATATGAGAGTCGCAATGAACACACGGTGTGGGTCCAGTGTAACTAGGGTGAAGCTGCCGATGGCAGCACACACGAAGGCATCGCGGAGAGCAAGTCTGCCGCAAAGCCCGCGAGAACCTTTCCGGGTTTAATGGACAGCCCAGAGGTGGCAGAAACTGGTTTTCTTCTATGCCCATTTGATGGTGGCTCAGGGACGTAGAGCCCAAGCTGAACTTCTGGCTGCCAGCTAAGCAGTTCACCCCAAAAAGTGCGCCAGCCAGAGTCACTGCTGGGAGTTGTTCTATCTGTCAACTCTCTTCCCCTCTCTTCTCCATTTAATTTTTCCTTTGTTCCTTGACTCCATCACCAACTGATCCCCTCGTATGTGAGAAAAGAACCTGCACACAAAACAGTTCAACAGCAGGTAAAGTGTCTCTGGCATGTTCTTGGACGGGCCTCCCCATGTGTGCTCAACAGTCCTTCCTTTCCATTCTTACCAGGGTAGGGCCTTACCCTACAAGCAGTCTTCTGGGTCTGGGCTCTTTATGGGGCGTGGGGCTGCCCCCCAGAGCCCCAGCTTCCCCTGATCGGGTATCATTTGGGCAGAAGCCAAGACAGGCAGAACCAGAAGGTTTTGTTGATTCCAGAAAGCTCTTCCCTAGTGAGAGAGAAGCCGTGGTATCGATGCTGTAAAGGGGCCTCAAGAACAGTTGTCGCAGATACCTCCAAGGGCCCCGGGGCCCATCTGGAAGGCTGGGCTTGGGAATCAGAGGGACCTGCTTCAAACTCTGGCTCCTACTCTTACCGTCCGTGGGACCCTGGGCAAATCACGTCACCTCCATGAGCCTTGGTTTCCACATTTGCAGGGTGGGGACAGTATGGGGACCACGGCCCCTCCCTCCTCTGATTATTGTGGCGTTTAGGGATCCCATGCACGCAGCACGCCGCCGAGCCTCGCCCATGGGGAAAATGCCACACGGCGACCGCACGTGGGTTGCGTAGCGTTCTGTGGAGGTGAAGAGGGTGGGGGGGACCAGACTGCCTGGATTCCAGAGGCTTCGCCTGCAGCCGGGCGCTCAGCAGCGTGTCTTTTTGTTTATCAAGTGTATAAGAGGGGGGATGATAGGACCTACTTCGTAGCCTTCCTGTGGGGATTAAACAAGATGATATGTGAGCAGGACTTGGTCCCTAGCTGGAGATTAATAAATGCCAGCTGCGGTTACTCCCATCATTATAATCATCACCCACGCCACCGCTGCTTATAATAGAACAATCTTTTCCCTGCATCGTCTACTCTGCTGTTAATCCTATCCGCTGTATCTTTCAGCCCCGACAGTGTATTTTTTTTCTCCCTCTAGAAATTTGATCTGGGTCTTTTTATATCTACTTAATATGCCCAAGCTCTCCTCTATATTCGTACACATAGAGAATATAGTTATAATAACTGTCATAATGTCTGTATCTACTAATTCTGTCATTTGGGTCACTTCTGGGTCTGTTTCTATTGATTGTGTTGTTTTTTTCTCTCATTATGGCTTTTAAGATCGCCGCTGCTCCTTATTATAGATGACACTACGATGATAAAATCTAGTCTACTTATAAAGGGTGGTTTCTTTCAGATAGATTTCCAGAAGTGAAATTGCTGGGTCAGTTGTGAGAAATGTTTTTAAGGCTCTTTGTTTCTCTGAAGTCTGTGGAATTTAGAACCCCTGCTTCTGCCTCTATCAGCAGCATATGAGGACTCACTGGGCCTGGTGGTTTGTTGAGACTTGTCAGCAAGCCTGTGGGTTTTTACATCCCTGGGAACAGCAGGAAGAACCCTTGCTAATGCACCAAGATCTCCAGGTGGTGGGTGCAGAGGAGCAGGGGGGCTTCGATGCTGGAGGGCTCATTCGATGGAGCTGCCATTAGCTGAGCCTCTGCCACGTGTCAGGCACTGGGCTGTTATGTAGTTCTCACATCCACACCATAAGGGAGATACCTCTGTGTCCATTTACAGGTGAGGAAACTGGGACTCAGAGAGGTTAGAAACGCACCCAGGGTCACGCAGTAGGTACGGGGCAGAGTTTGGGTTAGAACGCAGGTCTGCCCAGAGCCACCCTTACCAGACACTGTTCTAAGTGGTTCCACATAGTAAATGTAAGTGGTTACTGCCCTAATCCCCATTTCACGGATGAGTCATGGTACCCAGGCACTCGGCTATAATTTTCTTGCCCTCCCGATATAGATGGAGGTGGGCGTGAGAAGAGCTGGCAGAGCCTGGAAGTCTGCTGTCCCCAACCTCACTGCTGAAAAGAAGGAGGGCCCCATCCCCTAAGAGATACCCCATGGGTGAGGGCATGTCCTCTCAGCCAGTGGCCAGGTCCTCCCCTCGACCCATCCCTCCCTGTGAAGCTCTGTTTACCAGGACGGTCCTCCTGCCTGGACTCTGTCCATGATGAAGCCGCCAGAGGGTATTAGAGACGAAGCTTGGAATGACTGAAGGTTTGTAGGATAAGAGGAAGTGAAAGGAGCTGGGCTTCCCCAGGGGCTTCCAGCTGCATCTCTGGTAGGCCCCTGGCAGGGAAACAGGAGGGAGGGAGGGAGCTGAGGTCCCTCTGGGGGAGAATGACCCACCTTTCTGCAGCTGTACCAAGGCAGAGCCAAAGTCATTGAATTAAACTACTGGAGACCCCCAAGTGTCTGTCTTCTGCAGAACAGATGCATGGTGGCAGATCCACTCCAGGATACACGTCCAGAAGCTACAGCTACGCACAGCAACACTGGAAAATCTCGCAAGCACAATGCTGAACCCAAAAAGCTGCCACCAGAGAGCACAGACTGTGAGAGAGAGGTTCTGTGTCTATGACCTTCCAACACAGCCAAACTGAATTGCGCTTTTACAAGTCAGGGCAAGGTTCCCCTGAGGGGTGGGGCCCGGACGGGCTTGTGAGAGGGCTGCTAGTCTCTTTCTCTGACTGGCCGTTGGTTACACTGGTGTGTTCACGTTGTGGAAACTCATCCAGCTATTTCAATTCGTGCATTTTCCTATGTATATAATACTTCTACAAATTTGAGTGATGACGATAAAAGCGAAAGGGCAGTGGGAATTGCTTCGTATAGCCTTCTAAATGATGAACTCAGGTAAAGAGAGAGGTAGAAAGAAAACCCAGCTTTGCTATCAGACGGATCTGGGTTCGAATTCCAGCTTAATAATGGCATTGCCTTGATTACATTACATCGTGTCCCTGAGCCTCAGTTTTCCCATCCCAAATATGAGCCCAGTGATGCATCCCCCGAAGGCTTGCTGTCATGATCACAGGTAGAATTATTGGTACACAATAGGTGGTCAGTAAATGCGTGGCATCTGGTGGTTCCCTCCTCCCAGGAGAAAAGAGTCTGAAGTTCTGACCAAAGCAAGGGGCTGGGCAAACGGACCCCACCCCACACCTCAGGCCCAGAGACTTCCATTTCTAATTGACACAGAGCAGGTCACCCACAGCAGGAGGATTTCCACTCCGATCTCTCAGTTTACCCGGAGTTACCCAGGCTCAGGGGCCACAGAATCTTCTTTCAAAATTGCTCCACGGTTCCCATGCTCAGCAGCTTTGGCACGGTCATGGCTCCAAGGTTCTTGCTCTGTCTTCAGCCCCGGCGCAGCCCCCTGCTCTCTTCCTCAAGGCCACATCCTGCTGGGAGGCAGCGGCGCCCGGGTGGTCAGAAGGAGGCTTGGGGGTCAGGCAGGTGAGACCTGCATCCCGACTCCCCGTCTGTTTCCCCATCGGCTAACTGGGGTGGAGGAAAATGAGAAGGCCCGGCTAGTGGGGCTCTTGTGTGGATGCTGAGATATGGGGCCTATCCGATGCTTGGCTTGTATACAGTAAGCGCTCAATAGTGGTAGTTGGTGTTGTCATTATTAGCATTAGCTTACGGGGGACAACGACCACACTTCCAAGAAACCCCACAGCCACCTGGCAAATGATGGGCATTTCCAGGCCCGCAGGCAGACCCCGCCCACTGGTGAGGGTGCAGAGAGGAAGGGGCAGGACAAGTCCCTGCCCGGCTAGGAACTTTTGGTGTCCCCAGAGTGACCAGACGCATTCAAGCTGATTGGAACCTGAGCAGTGCAGGCCCCCCGGTGGCCCGCCTAGTGGGTGTGGGAGGGCGGCTCACACCGATACGCACAAGGTGGGTGGATCTGCCTGTGGGGTCAGAATGGGGGGGTGACTGTGGACCCCAAGACATTTGTCTGGTTTTACATCTGGGTCTAATATTTATTTTTAAATTTTTTGGTAAAATATACACAACAACGTTTA